GCAATCCTCGGCTTGAAAAACTCGTCCAGCAAAATGTTGCTGGATTTTACATCCCTGTGAAGCACCGGCCTCTCGCATCCATGGTGCAGATACTCCAATCCTCTCGCAGAACCGACAGCAATCTCGTACCTCGTTTCCCAATCGAGCTCCACTTTCTCCGACGTGTGGAGTCGATCCCATAGACTCCCATTGCACATGTACTCGTACACCAACAAGCTCGAGTCCTCGCTCGTTATGCTGCAGTAGAGCTTCACCACGTTTAGGTGTCGAATCGAGCTCAATGTCTGAACCTCCGCTTCGAGCTCCTTCGACCTCCCTCTCCCGCCTCCGCCGCCGCGCTTCCCGAGCATCGGCGTGGAGCTCCGCTGGTGCTTCCCTTCATCCGGGCCGGCGGTCCATATGTGTTTCACAGCAACATCTCTGCCGTTGGCGAGACTCACTTTATAGACGTTGCCGGATCCTCCCTTTCCGACGAGATTCTCCGGCTTGATTGAATCCAGAATGTCGTCCTCGCTGAATGTCAACACGTGGAACGATTTCACATCCCAATTCTCTTCCTTCAGCGATCGATCGCCGTCTTCCTTTTCTCTGTTCTTTAGATGCAAGTAAGATCCGAATGAAACGAGTAAAATCAAAGATCCAACCGCGACGCAGGTCAACAAAGTTCTGACATCTTTGCTCATTCCCGATTCACGACGGCAGCGTTTGAACCCGTTGACCGTTTCGCTGCAGAGCTCTGGATTTCCGTCGAAGCTGCCGTCGTAAGCGTCGACTGACAGGGAAAGAGGAATGCCGCCGGTTAAGCTGTTGTTGGAAAGATCGAGGAGGCTGAGTTTCAACGATGACAGGGTACCCGGAATTCTGCCGGAGAGTTGGTTGTCGGAGATGTTTAGAGCGTTGAGGGTTGGTAGAGATCCCAACGAGGACGGAATCTCGCCGGAGAGGGAATTTCTGGCGATGTTTAAATCGCTGAGAGAATTACAGAGGCTTATTGATCGGGGAATTGAGCCGCTTAAGTTATTGTTCTGCATTTGAAGGCTACTCAGAAGCTTCAACCCTCCGACACCCTCCGGAATTTCGCCCGAAAACTGATTGTCGCTCAACGAGATGGCAACCAATGACGTCGCCTGAGAAATCTCCTCGGGGAGTTCCCCGGAGAGACGGTTGTTGCTGACGAGCAACTGTCCAAGTGATTTCGCCTTCCCGATGTCAGCCGTTAATCTGCCTTCGAACTGATTGTCCTCGATGTCTATGATGTTCACGTTGGGCAACCCCCAAATCCCGGCGGGGATTTCGCCGGAGAGCGAGTTCTTGCTCACCCTGAATCTCAGCAGAGTCGTGCAATTGGCGTAACTGGCTGGGATTCCGCCGGTGAAGTTGTTCTGGAGCATCAGAAGTCCTCTCATCACCCCTTTCTTGCACATATTGGGCGGAATTGGACCCGTCAAGTAATTCTCGGACACGTCGATGAAATCAAAGCCGGAAACAGAGCCCAGATTCTCCGGCAGATGACCCGACAGCTGGTTCTCGTACAGAGAAAGGTTGACCAGCTTGGTGAACCCCCCGAATTCCGGCGGGACAAAGCCGGATAGCTCGTTCTGGAACAACTGGAGAGTTACTAGATTGGTCAAGTACCTGGTCGCCGACAAATCTCCTTCGAGATGATTCCTAGACGCATCGAAATTCTCCAAGAGCGTCAAGTTCCCGAGCCCGGCAGGGATTTTGCCGGTCAGGTTGTTGTTGTACATCTCCAGCTGCCAGAGGTTCCGCAAGTTTCCAATCGAAGCAGGGATCTCGCCGGTGAGATAATTATCCGAAAACTCCAAGTTAATAAGCTGGGTGAGGCCCCCAATTTCGTCGGGAATTCTCCCCACGATGCTCGTGTTCGTCAAGTAAAGCCACCGGAGATTAGTCAACCGAACAATCTCGGGAGGAAACGGTGTCGGATCGAACGCGTTGTCTCCAAGGCTGAGCGCGACGAGACTCGTCGTGTTGGCGAGCGAGTTCCAGGGGAATTGTCCGCTAAACCCGCTCTGGTTCAGGTACAGGTGCTGAAGCTGGGAGAGGGCCGAGAAATCCGGGAACTCGCCGGTGAAGAAATTGTTGCCCAAATCGAGGTAGCGGAGTTTGGTACAGTTGCTCAAATCTTTGGGCACGGTCCCGGTGAAGGAATTGTGGCCGAGGGAGAGCTTCTCCAGGGAATCGAGCTGGCATATTGAGTCGAGCGGGAGAGGGCCGTTTAAATTGGAGGAGGAGAGCTCGAGCTCCGCGACGGAGGTGTTGTCGGCGGCGGCGCAGGTGACTCCGGTGAATCCGCAGATGGAAGTGGCGGCGGTCCAGGTGTCGAAGACGTTGGTGTTGGGATTGTGGAGGGATGATTTGAGGGCGAGGAGGGTTCGGAGGTCGTCGGATTGGGCGGGAGAGAGGAAGCAGAGGAGGAAGAGGAGAGGGGAGAGGAATTTGCAGAAGGGAGAAACGGCGGTGGAGGAGAGCGCCATGGGAGCAGACGGCCGGCGGTGGGTGGTTTTGGGGAGGAGATAAGGGATGGAGGTTTGGCGGGGATTAGGACAGAGGCATTGTTATGTTATGTAAGCAAGGGCGGCTGAAAGGAGTGGAAAATTAAAAGGGGAAATGGGTCCTTCCGTATAGTGAAATTGATTTTTTTGTTAATGCGGTGTGACCTCGTTGCCGACTCTGTAGTAAGAGTGGGAAAAGCACAAAAGGAGAATGGAGTAGGACAAGAAAAATCACTTGTTTAAGTCAACCTTTTTTTTCCTTTGTTTTTCGTTAGGTTGGATTTATTAAACTCGTAGTGAAGGACGGGCAATTTCTAGAGAAAGAATAACAATAATTGAGATGTGAGATTGATTTTTTTTTTCTTCCATAGATTATGAAAAAAGTAATCATAATTGACTCCAGCAGTAGGAGATGGAGTTGAATGCAGTGTATTCTAAAATTTGGTCTTTTAGCTCATTATTTTATGGAAAATATATAATAGCCACCAATACATTTGCAAGCTTGAATGGCTGGGCTTTATTTTGTATTCATGAAGTTGATATTGATAAATTAGGAGGCAGAAAATAACATATAATATTATAGAAATGGAAAATAAAAGAATCTTTATTAATGTTCCATGTTTTGCCGATTCACGAGGGAATTCTCTGTTTCAACTTTCAACTGTATGGTCAGGTCAATTGCTAGTTAGTTTATCTCTAGGTGCGTGTTGTGCTTTCCTTTATTACTATTGCTACATGCTCAGTTCGTTGTTTAATTAGAATAATTCATAGACAAGTCAACTAGTCAAGTGTGCGCAACCAGCAGCAGCATGGTAAAGCAGCCCCGCAAGTAGATTATACACCACTAAACATCAATAAACTCACATGTTAATTTTTTTTATGAATCAAAACTCACATGTTTTCTTCACCTTATAAAAATAAAATGGGTTAATACCTTATTTTGGCCTGAACTATGACCATATAATCAACTTTGGCTCGTGGTTTCAGAAATTAACATCCTGGCCTCAACTATATAGTATATAGACTCAATTGGCCCGATACCGAGTTTGACCGTCAATTTGGATGGTCAACATTGTTGACCGTTAGTCAACACGCCATGTCATTGCTTCGTCATCCTAAAAATTATTAAAAAATTCAAACTATTTTTTAAATTTTTATTATTTATAATCAAATTAACAAAAAATAATTTATAAAAAACATAAACTAAATTTATTTTTTTATTTTTTGTGTAATTTGAAAATGATTAATTTTATAAATTAAACAAAAATTATCGAATTATTTTACATTTAACATTACCCAAAAATGAAATATATAACTTATATAATATTTTTAAAATTTATAAAATTTAATTTGATAATTTTTGGATAATTTATAAAATTTATCATTTTCAAATATCCCAAAAAATAAAATATACATTTTATTTTTTGGTTAGTCTGAAAATGATAAATAATAGAAATTAGGAAAATAATTTGAATTTAATTTTTTTAATAATTTTTAGGCTGACGAGGCAATGACATGGCATGTTGACTAACGGTCAACGGTGTTGACCATCCAAATTGACGGTCAAACCATGTGTGAGGCCAATTGAGTCTATATGCTGCATAGTTGAGGTCATGATATTAATTTCTGAAACCACGGGCCAAAGTTGATTATATGGTCATAGTTCGGACCAAAATAAGGTATTAACCCAAATAAAATCTGAAATTATGGAAACATATATAAGCATTATTGTATCCTCTCTATCCCGTTCTATTCTAACCAATTGTCAATTAAAAAATAATGAATAATAAATGTTTGTTTCCTTGAGATATGCTACTCTGCAAGCTGGGTATAGGCAGAATTTTGTCTAAGGTTTGTTCATTTAAAAAAGATACAAATGGCAAAAGCATATGATCGGGTAGAGTGGTGGTTCTTGGAGAAGATTATGCAGAGAATGGGCTTTACAGAAAGATGGATCGGGTGGATAATGATGTATGTCCGTACAGTGTCGTTCTCGGTGATGGTCAACAACCATCAGTCACAGAGTTTTTTTCCCGGGAAGAGGTTACGGCAGGTAGGGGTGGGAATCGGTCGGTAAACGGTAAATTGGTTACCGAATTTACCGGTTTCGGTATACCGACACTGGCAAAACCGTTTACCGTTTACCGATACCGATTTGTAACCGGTTTACCGATTACCGAATTACCGCAAGGGAGACGTGGGGAGGAAACAAAGATGAGCAATTATAATAACAATTTACGGATCAATTATAATAACCATCTACTTAATTATGTAATCGTATTTCTCATGAACAAGGTTAACATATATGTGATTCAATTTGGTTCTGTTTTGGAAACTTGAGATGGTCCACAGAAGGGTTGATCAAATTACAATGTGTTCAATCCTGTTTGGCTCTTTGCTAGAAGGTCTCCACCCTATCACTTTCCAGACCAGGGAAGAATCCTTTTGCTTCCCCAATAATACCAATTACCAAGTCTCTGTTCAATGATTCAGTTGATTGTTTTGTTTTTGGTGAAATGTGGTTTGTTCCCCAGATGTGAATTAAGAATCATCAGTGTCGAAAAACAACAGGCAACCACAAACTTACCTATTAATCAGCAGTGGAAGCTCGTCGCCGTCGTCGGTGGGGAAGCGGGAAGCTCGTCGCCGTCATCGCCGTCGTGGCCCGTGGGAATCGCTGCTCGTCGCCGTCGTCAGCAAAAGGAGCGGCCGGCGAATACGAGAAGAAGAAGAAAGGTGGGCAGGTGGCTCTCTGGTCTCTGCGATTTTCGATTGAAGAAGAGACTGGGAGGGTCAGGGCTGGGCGAAGTAGCGGCGTCCGTCGTCGCCGTCGTGGCCTGGGAATCGCTGCTCGTCGCCGTCGTCAGCAGAAGGGAGCGGCCGGCGAATACGAGAAGAAGAGAGGTGGGGAGGTGGCTCTGCCTATGATATCTCTGCGAATTTCGATCGAAGAATAGAACAGAAGGGTCAAGGGCGGCTAGGTTTTGTTGTTTAGAGGGTATAGATTTGGTTATTACATTAAACGACGTCGTTTTGATTTCGGTAAACGGTTTACCGATTTACCGTCGGTAATTTACCGAAACCGGAACGGTAAACCGATACACTCATTCCACGTTCGGTCGCCGATACCGTCGGTAAACGGTTTACCGTTTACCGTAACCGTTTACCGTCGGTAAACGGTTCGGTAAAACGGTAAACCGTTTACCGACAAACCGAATCCCACCCCTAACGGCAGGGAGATCCGATCTCTCCATACCTTTTTCTGTTGTGTGCAGAGGGGATGTCTGCTTACACAAAGAAGGTTGTCCAGGAGGGGAAGCTCCATGGCATAAAGGCGGCAAGAGGGGCTCCCTGCGTGTCACACCTTTTCTTCGCCGATGACAGTATTTTTTTCGGTAAGGCCACGGATAGAGAAGCTTGCACTTTGAAGAAAATCTTAAGAGCATATGAAAGGGAGTCGGGACAGCAGGTTAATTTCCAGAAATCAGCTGTTTCATTTAGCGGTAATGTAAAAACTCATGGTTGTCTGATGGTCGGTGGGACTCTGGAGATGGTTGTTATTGACAAACACGAAAAATACCTGGGTCTCCCTACGGTAGTTGGCCGTTCAAAGAAAGAGATCTTCCAGAGTCTTACTGAAAAAGTAAGGAAGAAGTTGAAAACATGGAAAGAGCGAGTCCTGTAAGTAGCAGGCAGGGAAGTGCTTATCAAGTCAGTGGCGCAAGCTCAATTTACATATGCTATGTTTGTGTTCCGTGTTCCCCAAGCTGTCCTTGATTAAGTAGAACGCCTCATAGTTAATTTCTATTGGGGGCAAAAAGGGATAGAGCGTCGGGTTCATTGGATCAAACGAGAAGAATTAGTTTGCGCAAAAGAGGATGGAGTGTTGGGGTTTCGTGACCTGCATGGATTCAACATGGCTTTACTTGCCAAACATCTATGGAGGATCTACCAGCGCCAAGACTCTTTGATCGGACTCATCCTGAAAGCAAAGTACCACAAGAATTGCTCGATATTGGACGCGTCACCAGGATATCGATCGAGCTTTATTTGGCGCAGTTTGATGAGTGCACAGGAGTTCCTTAATAACACGCTGAGATGGAGGATGGGAAATGGAGCTATGATTAGAGTTTGGGGCGATAAATGGATACTGACAACTCCCTCTACCTGCATTGACTCATCTCCAGTGGGATTATCAGTGGATGCTTCGGTAAGGGAACTCATCTCCTCGGAAACGGATCAAAGGGACGAGGTACTACTCGAGGCTTGCTTTCTCTCGGAAATAGCCTACTTGATCCACAGTATTCCCCTTCGTGATTTGAGGGAACAGGACAAACTCATTTGGGATGGAAGTGCATCTGGGGAATTTTTAGTGCATGAGGGTTATAAAACTCGAGTATGGAAGCGGGTATGGAATATGAAGGTCCCACCGAAGGTAAAAACATTTTTTTGGCGTTATGCGCGGGACATTTTGCCAACGGGTGATCATATTAGTGTAAAGAGTAAGAGGAGGGGGGACAAATGCCCGTTTTGCGATATAAGGGGGACCCAAATCCATAGATTCGTCATCTAGGCTTTGGCGTGCCTCGGACTAGTGGACTGTTTCTTGTGTCACACTTCTGAATGCTGCTATACCTGGCTGAGGACAGTTATGGACTCAAAGACTGATGAAGAGTTAGAAGACTGGGCAATGCTTCTTTGTTTCTTGTGGAAGGAGCGTAATGCTCATCTTTTCAACGGGAACAAACTGCCTGAGCATGAGATTATTCCTAGAGATAAAATGTGGTTGGCTGACTACAGAATGCACCAGGAAAGTAATGAGGACAAGGTGGTGAATAATAGTGTAAATATTTGGCAGAAACCGTAGCAGGGACAACGGTAAGTCAACATAGATGCGAGTGCCCTAGATGCAGGGGGCATAGGTTTAGGAGTTGTCATTCGTGATGATGAAGGGAAGTTCCTCCTGGCGGCTACAAAGAAGATCCCGGACAGCTGGGAACCTCAGATGCCGGAATCCTTGGCTGCTGAGCTCGGTTTGCAATTAGCCCACCAGTCTTACTTGACGAATCTGGTTGTCTCACGGTCACCCACAAGCTAGCAATGGTGGACGATATCCAAACTGAGATCGGTGTTATATGCCGAAATATTTGAAGGCTATTCCGGGAGACAGGGAATGGAACCTGGTTTCCTACTTTTCTGTCTACTGCCAACAACTTCATTGCAAATAAGGCAAGTCGTCCAAAATCTGCCTTCCGTGAACAGAAGCTTTCTGAAAATTGGACACCAAATTCGGAAGAACTCTCCAAGTCTATGAGCAAGGACTTTATTAAACAGTTTATGGATGCTTCCCAATAAGCCTATATGTTAAGACCTTTGACATCCTCGACCGCATCTTTCTTAGGCACTAAGCATATAAAGGAATGGGAAGCGTTCTTTGATAGTCGACCAGTTATGAAAATCTTTAAAAGCATTGAGGATATCAGTTCTTATCCAAGCCTAACATCTCTTATAGAGCTGCCCAGATTTCACCCACCGTGAACTCACAGCAGAGAAGGTTACAATCACCCACACTCGCCTTCCAGTTAACATAATGTACATGGAAGAGAAGAGTATTAACCTCTTCATGAAACATATCGATGTAAAAGTAAAAAATGCCATGGGCTAACTACTGAGAGCCCTCCAAATTCTAGTCGTTCACCTTTATATGATCAAATGTATTCAGATTCCTCTTGTAATTGGTCATCTTGTGAAAAACTTAGAATTTGTGTCTCCTTCTTTCAGCCATAACTCATGAGATTTTTTTTGCATCCAACAGATCTCTTGCTTATTCAAAGCTTTCTCCATATCAACTTTCAAAATACCTCTCTCTAATTTATTGATCCTAGTAAGAGGACGAGATTCTTCAATAGAATCCAAGCATTGAATTTTCACTAGCAAGTGATCAACTTATCTATGAATATTTCTAAATATCTCTCTATTCCAAAATTTTAATTTCTACTTCAAATCATGTAATCTCCTGGCGCATCAGAAAATGGGACCGACTACTTGAAGTGGGGATAAAAAACACTAACTCAAGCTATTGAAAAAATTATCATCCTCTTTTTGTAGATTGGACCTAGTAGTTGCAACCCTTCGATGTGGAGGAAGCTCTTGAAGATTAGGGACAAGGTGGAACCGTTTATTAGTTGTTGGGAAACCAAATTTTCTGGAATAACATATATATTCCTAAGTACTATGTTAAGATGGTTTGGGAAGATCTTAGAAGGAGAAACCTTGTAGTACCCTGGTACTCTCTGCTATGGTCTCAGTACATTTTGCCAAGACATAGTCTAGTGAGCTGGTTAGTTCTTAAAGATAGGATATGCACAAAGGAGAAACTAAAAGCCTGGGGAAAAGATGATAATTGTCTGCTTTGTAACTCAGTGGTTGAGACAAGGAACCATTTATTTTTCCTCTGTCCTTTCTCAACTAAAGTACTTAAGTACAACCTAGGGTTGATCAATAAATTTTGCAGACCCTGCTGTGATTTTCAGGATTACAATAAGTGGGTAGTGAGAAGTTTCAAAGTTAAGCAAGCTTATGCAAAAATTGGAAGATTGCTTTGGAATTTAACATTCAACATCTTGTGGAAGGATAGGTGCAAGATATTATATAGGGATGCTGCTATTGATGTTGGTGGAGTTTGTGCTCATGTCAAGAGTATTATAAACCTGGCTATTGCAGGGAATGTGGCTCTGCAATCTGATTTTCATGCTTATAGCATAGGTATTTATTGCGAGGGAAGGGTTGTTCTTATAGGAGATAAACTGGTTGTAGTGTATTGTTCTAGTAATACATTGTAGATAGAAGTTTTGTACTTTTGTGAGGGGAGACTGGATTTGCTCCCCCACCTTGAGCTTAATAATTTATTTGATTACCCATTAAAAGACATGACCATCCCCAAGCCACATGTTTTCATATCTACAAGGTCTTTTTACCCTTGTATTGTTCACCACCATACAAGAAAAGGATTGTAATCAGATTCAACTCTCTCAAGAGCTGTGAGAGTGCTATCAAGGATAAGCGAGTCAAAACAGGATGATGTGAAAATTAGGTCAATACATGATTGAGAGCCACTACCAGCACCCTTACTCAGAGTGTAGATACTTCCACCCATATTGAGAGATTTCATTTATGACCAATTGAGAGAGCAGGTGCTCTAGCTCTAGCGTGGGTTGTTGGTCTCCATATACAAGTTTTAGACATCAATAGTTTTTTCATTGTTGTTTTGATCATGTAAATGGGGGCTTCGTTATAAATTTTGTCCTTGCCCCCTCTGATACGACTTTTTGTAGAGTTTCGGGATAAGGTTAGCAACCATAGGGATAGTGTAGAAGATATGTAGATTTTTTATGGTGACATGCACAATGTATTATTCTCCTAGGAAAAGCAGGATGGGGGTCGTACTAGAAACGAGTTGGTTCTCCCTTTTAAGTCTTTTTTTAGCTGATAATGCATTAATTGATCTTGGATTCAAGGGGTACGCTTTCACTTGGAAGAAAAATCAAGAGGGCCAGAGGAAAGTGGAATTGAGATTAGACATAGCTTTGGTTTCAACTTTCTGGCACTCACTGTATAACAATACACTAGTTTTCCACTAGTTACCCATTAAGTCTTGTCATAGCCGGAGTGAGAAGGAATTAAAAGTAGAATGTATCTCCCTTTCGGTTTGATAAGAGATGGCTTCAAGGAGAAGAGTGCCACTAGATAGTGAACCAGATTTGGATGAAGGCGGTCAATGCCATGATAGATTTTTAAAATGTGAGAAAGAGTTACATGAATAGGGCAATAAAGTCTATAAAGATCGAAACAAAAGGGCATAAAAAATACATAAAAATTTGGGGGAGATTCTCCAATTGGAAAAAAACACAAGTTATACTATTTGAGGA